TCTCTCTCTCTCTCTCTCTCTCTCTCTCTCTCTATCTATCTATCTATCTATCTATCTATCTATCTATCTATCTATCTATCTGTGTGTGTGTGTGTCTGTCTTTATTGTGTACGGTGCACCAGCAACTTCACCTATCTATCTCTGGCGATTAGCACCACTCTCTCCCTCTCTTATTTCATACAGTAACAGTGCCCATGCACTCAGCAGCACTCCAGGCTTAATGCATCATGAAGAATGCATCAGGGCTGGCGTGGAGGACAGCTCAGGCTTAATGCATCATGAAGAATGCATCAGGGCTGGAGTGGAGGACAGCTTATATTGCTGGTTGAACCCATTAGGCTCTCCACGGGGTCATGACCGAAATACCCTCCATTGTGGAGACGTCCCCACAACCCTACACCAGCCCAACGTCCAACAACCGTTGCATTGCTGGTTTATCCTTTGATGATCCCAGATTCCCCAAAATGTGATTTGGATTGACTGAAATCTCAGCAAGTTCAGTGTTCGGTATTTGAAACTAGTTTATCGTTGGCACGACTTCCTATTTCAGTAGCCGATTGTTATTCAGCACAAGTACTAGCGCGAATCAATCCGCACATAAGGATGACACGGAAATGTCTCAAGCTCAATACCTTCCCCTTTACACTTAACAAGACAATCCGTCAGACACAGAACTCTTTGATATGATAATGTCATCCTCAGAAAGAAAAAAAAAAAGCAAGAACTTCCAGTTCATATAATGTTAGAGAGCCAACAAAATCGTGAGAAGAAAAAGACTTGGCGGAACAGAGAAAATTGGCGAGGAGCTGACCTGAGTAAGTGCACCTGCTTGCCACTTGAACTCTCCTGGGACTTCCGTGCAGACATAACTCCCTAAAAGGGTTTTGCTATCCATCTGATCATCGAGATGGACCTTGATGATATCTGGTGAGAGCAAGGTGAAAACAAGTCAGAAAAACTAAGGAATCAGAAAAAGGCAGACATGGACAGCTGTTTTTTTCTGACAGCTTGCATCATCACATCCACCAACACTCATGCGAGCCCCCAAAGCACTTTCCTATTTAACTTTTATCTAAATGCTAATCCCCCCTTCCTTTTAATTTCTTGGCCAAACAGTACCCACTTCCCCATTCTGACCCTTGTGGTCTGGACAACTGGACACTCTTGCCTGTGTGAAGCTGCAAGGCGGGACAAACGTTGCACACACCAGCTCAAAGGATGGAAATGCTACTGCTTAGTTAAGGCGATCACCATCTTCCCACAAACATAACGGAACTGTCTTCTATTCTTTCCGAAAATAACAGCTTCTTTTGGGTGTACTGTCATCATTTTGTTCAAATAAAAGCTCACATCTCATACACTGCATGTGTATTATACTTTTAAAAAAATAAAAAATAGGCGGCAAATGCTATGTACTTGTGCTCCTTCAGCTTGACATTCGGTCAATTGAAACAAACAAATAAAAGCGAATTCTTTATAGTAAGTTTATACTTGTGCTCCCAGGGAGACGGCATGAATACCCACTGGTGCCCCCCAGTGGCTCCTCCCGGCACCCTGACCACGTACAGGGTTGGAGAGGGAGACGAGGACCACCAGCGCTCTACTCCACGAGTCGGGTCGTGTTCATACCTGCTCAGTCATTTGTCGGTGTCAAAGGGGAGGCACTTTTGGGGTTCGCAGGGAGACAGTAGGAATACCCACTGGGGCCCCCCAGTGGCTCCTCCCGATACCCTGACCAGGCACAGGGTTGGAGAGGGAGATGAGGACCACCAGCTCGCATTTCCACGATTCGGGTCGGGTTCACACCTGCTCAGTTAATCCTCTGTTTTCCAGAGCAATCAATGCTGGCAGACACCCTCTAGTCTCCATCCAATTTTCCTTCTATGATTCATTCTGTATCAATCTGTGTAAGGGACGCTGGACCCGTTTTCCAGCAGGTGTTGCTCCCCACCAATAGATGGAGCCTCTCCCTAGGTGCTAGCAATGTCTGCTTTAAACAGCAACGGTAGCACTGGAGGGAATGTGAAAAAAAAAAAAAAAAAAAAAAAAAAAAAAGAGTTTATACTAGTGCTCCCGTCAGTTCCAAATCTGCTCTCTTAAAGCACTAGTACCTCCACCAGTGTTGGGAAATTAGGGAAAACGCCTGTTCCTGAAGAGTTCGGGGGTCAGGCCCGACAATGGCTGCCATTGATAAATCTCGTCTCGTCGGCGGCCGCCATTTTCATTTTGGCCTCCTAAAAGGTCAGAAGCCCACCTGAGGCCCGCTATTTTCCCACTCGGCAAAGGTACTAGTGGTTTAAAACCGGAAGAAAAACAAACACCCATATTCTCTTCAATTAGGATGTCACATAAACATTCTATTTGTGCATTGAATAATGTGTGACTCTCTCTCTCTCTCTCTCTCTCTCTCTCTCTCTCTCTCTCTCTCTCTGTCTGTGTGTGTGTGTGTGTTAGACAAAAGTAATTATCAGTAACACTGCTGTCGTTTTCCTTGTGTCATTGAGACCAAATACCAGCGGTGTGATATTGGGCCTCGCTAGTGCTCTAAATGGTACAAGTTTGTGTTGTCTCCTATTAGTCTCCTAGCTGCCCTTGACTTTGGAAATGTGCGCTGATCCGCCACTTCCTTCATGCCCGTTCCATCCCCTACACTCAGCATCCTTGGCCATGGCCAATGCGGGCAACAACCTGCATTCTATATGGGTTAACAGAAGTGGGTAACCTGTAGGACGTAGGTAAGTTACAGAAGATAGTGGCAGTCTCCTTATCACAAACGCCAGGGTCACTTCTATACATGAGGCACCATCGTGCAGCTCGAGGTGGATGCCAACAAAGTGCTGCCTCAGAGGGGTCCTGTCGTGCTTTTGTCTTAAAGCACCACTACCTCCGATCCTCTTTCCACCGACCCTGAAATTCCCTGCGTGCCAACTTTTGCCGAGCCTAGAGTGGGGGCGGTTCCATTTCATTTTTTTTGTTTGGTACCGCTCCCCAAAAAAAATTGTCGCAGCTGACAGATTAGGGACAGAAGGGGAAAAAAAGAAAAAAACATCCCTGATGCCGTGATAGCGGTGAGATTCGTTCTCGGATGTACCAGTGTGAGTGCAACCTGCTGAGGGCGCTTATCCGTTACAAAACACAAACTGAAGAGAAGAAAAAATGAAAACTTCCGTTACGTCGTGATAGCAGTCAGATACATTCTTGGAAGTACCACTGTGAGTATGCCCTCAGTGAGGGCGTTGTAGGGCCCCCATGTGTGATATGTCCTGGCCTCTCTGGCAGGGCACAAAGAGAACAACAAAAAGAAAAAAAAAAATGAAACAACCACCAACATGTTTCAGTTATAGTGGCCAGCTTGAACGCAGTGGTGTCACTATGCCTCGGTGAGTGCCTCCCCTACTGCATTTATGTCGAAGAAGTCAGTTCTTTTCTTTTTTTCTTTCTGTTCTCACAGAAGGCCCACTTCTGTTCTCACAGCGGCCGGACCCAAATGTTTTCCTTTTCTGTTTTCATGTGCTCTGACGCCGACCCTGGCCCGAACCCCCGACTCTTGCGGACTAGCCTACTTTCGAGACTTAGCTTCACCGTGAGAAAGGTTTAAGGGAAAAAGAAAAACATTTCTTTACATCTCCTTTCTGAAGGTATTATGCTATCTTTCCAGTTTGCCACAGTCATAATGAGGCTGCATTGCGCTGAGGGAAGACAATAGTACTGGTGGTTTAACACGCTGGGCAGCTGCAATGTACAAGCCTGCCAAGCAAGGCCAAATTCATTCACGAAAGACTAAATTCATTCTGCAAAAGCTATACATGCTACTCGCCCCCTCTGACGCAACACTTTGGTGGCACCCAGTGTGAGTTGCACGATGGTGCCTCACGCAGATGTGGGCCCGACGGACCCTTTATGTTTTGTTGTCAGGAGACTGCAACCCTCTTCTGTTACTACCTACACCCAACAGGTTACCTACTTCTGTTGACCCCTGTACAATGCATGTCAGTTGCATGCGATGGGACTCTTGGCCGTTGCGCCATTGACAAGAAGGAAATAGACAAACCGTTTGGATTGCAGATGTTAACATCTCCCTTACATACACCTGGTCATTATAACTGTATGTATTTTTTGGGCCAGCTTTTAGTCCAGGTGCACCTTTAATGACCGGCTGCTCTATTCGGGTGATGGTAGTGCTGATACCTGCAAAGGAGGGACAATACGCAGGTACTTCGCTTCTGGTAGCTAGTCCCAAACAAGCAATCTGGACCCCATTCTGCCAAACGCAGCTGGAGAAAGGCCCTGACATTGTGTACTGCCCTCACCACTTACTTCCACGGTTCACCTACGTCTCTCAGGTCATCTGGTTCACAAACATCGAGAGAAAGGTGAACATGCTAAACTAGCACTTCCAACTCTTTGCCATAAGCCTGCACCAGAGTATTACCAGCAGTGGGTGATTGACATAGAAGCCCGTGGCTTTTCACTAAGAGAAACTTAGTTCATTGCCTGCTGAAAAGGTCAAGGACGAGCACAAGCTTCAAATCAGTTCAGTTAGGGTGCTGTTAGCAATGGATACAGGGTGTGCATGGATGAATAGAGGGTGATATAAGGGTCTCCTTGCCATTCTGCCAAACGATCTGAACTATTTGCAAATGGATGGAAACTTCCCCATGCCACTCTATTTTTTCTCTCAGTAGCACCTCCAAACATTTTCTATTTCAAACAAGAAGATTCTCTGCTGTTCGGCAAGCAATCCATTCCCTCAGTAATTCCTTCTTCAACTTCAAATCTCTTACAAGCCACACCACTGGATCCTCTCTTCCCACACATGTGAGAAAGTGTGCGCACACACAATGTGCATGACGGCCTAATGAAACACTCTGAAGCCTGTGTCCAAGACATTTCCCTGAATCGGAGAAGTGAACCACATCCTCAAAACAGATGGGCCACAAGCCACAATAATTTGAACGCATTCTTGGTCCTAGACTGATGATGCCCCACAATCATCCAACAAAAACCATGGAATATCATATTGCAAGTCAAACTGCAATGCTGAAAAACAAAGGATGATAAAAGAGTCACATTAAAGGACATCTACCTGCACGTCTCCGAAAGGCATGTATTTCCTCTCGACTCACCATGATTTCCGGTGATTCGTGCCACCTCATCAATCAACACAGACTTCCCTACACCTGGAGGGCCTTCCAAGAGAATCGGTCGTCGCTGACACAGCCCAAGCACCAGAGCCTCCAAATTCTTTACAGTTGTCTTAGTCAGCACCAATGTCCTTCCCTTCAGAGCCTCTGGACTGCATGTTTGTTACCCCAAGACATACAGAAAACAAACGCAATTGAGCTGCATGATTTACGTCAAAAAAACATGTCCAATAGGGTTCCATCAGGCATCAGCATCTAATGACATTCAATGATGTGCAAGTTATCGCACTATTTAAACCATCACTGCTTTTTCAGGACAGACCTCTGAGCCTGACAACGTTTTTTGTCGATCGAGGAATAAACACTGGCCACCAAATGGCCCACTGGCGACCACGGCCGTCAGAACAATGGACAGTGGTTTAAGACCTTTGACTAGATGGGACTCCACACTCTGACAGTCCACTGAGAAGTGAGTACGGAGTGACATGCCTGCACTCCACACCATACCCATCTTTCTATCAATCTATATTTTGATCAACCCATCTCATCTATACCACATACCGATTTGCCCTGTCTCATGTCTGTCACACTCCCACCCATCATCCTTCCCCTCATCCCACTGGCCCTCTCCCCCTTAACACTACAAAAGGATGTAGCAAGGCGAGAACTCTCACCTTGCCTGACTGGCACCAGCATCCTTAGCTGGAAGGTCGATTCCGCAGATATTAACAAAAGCGCCTTTGCCAATGCATTTCCTCTTCCCATGACGAGCCAACCCTGCAGATATCACGCCTTCACATCCTACGATGCTCTGAGTAGTTGAAGAATCTTCGGCCTGTAAACTCTGAAAGGGATAAAGGAACATGGCTGCTCTCTCGACAGCAATTTCCTTTTCAATCGACTCCCATCTGTATGTTGACACATGCATGCACCACCGATAAAGAGAGAGACACAGATGAACCGGGTCAACAATCAAACTTCTACATCAACTCTACACTACACTGCCAATCAATTTTGTCAAACCATGGACAACCCAGCTATTCATATAACAAGTACTGAGAACAAGCGCATGCAAAAAGTGGCGCCGAAGTTCAACCGCAGCCCATCATCTCAATTCAGTCCAAAGTGCCACAAGATGTGCACATTGTGCAACGTGGAAAACACCCAGTGGTTCTTCTGACACACACGTGCAGTGGAACTTTTTTGACCCAATATTTTTAAGTTACTTTTTTTATTTCCTTGGGCAGTTTCTTTCAATAAAATAGGATTGTTTGGATTTTGGTCTATGATGGTTTTTTTATGGATTTTAACTATTGGTTTTGTTTATGAATGGAAGAAGGGTGCTGGATTCAGACGCGAAGCGTCTGCTCTTCGAGCCTCGTTAAGTTCCTCTAAGAGCCTTTCTATAGCATCTATGGTAAGAATACTATAGCCACAGACAGGGAAAAAGAAAATTTAGAGGAAAGAGCACAGATCATATTACAGAGCATGGAGAGGAAAGAGCATACAAACACAAACACATTTAGAATATATGCAACCATGGAACCACGCAGAGTAAGGATAGGGCATTCCGCCTTTGCAAAGTGCAAAGAACCAGCCAGCCTGTAAGAACACAATTTCTTACCAGCACGACCTTATTAGAGACCATACATGAGTTGACCAAACAAAAAGTAGACTTGACAAGGCCGTGAGCACACTAATGCACGAGCACACAGAACACTGAAGTCTCTCTTCATAATCGAAGCCCACTTCTCGCCTCCACTCAATCAATACAACAGCATAGCAGTGATCCTTAAACCAGGGTATCCTGCTGGCACTACTCCGTAGCCTAACCTACCATCTACCATCCAACTGAGCTCTGTCCCTACTTATGTTGACGACTACTGGAGAGTCTGTTCACATGCGGCTCCTCTGCTGACAAACAGGTAAGTATCCTCCTCTCACACGTAGAATTTCGACCGCAAAACAACTCCCTAGGTTAGGTTCAAACCCACCACCCAATAGATACGGTCAGCAGTGCATGTAATCTGACTAAGCTTCCCTCCCAACCATGCACGCAAGATTTCCAAGCACACGGTGGGACCTCCTCTTGTCTTCCAACCTTCCCCTTCAAGGGCAGCTCCTCTCTGCTATGGCACCTGGCTTGCTTCTACCGTTCGCACTGTCTTCCACGGAACAGGGACGCTGTGCTGCACATGCCTACACTGCCACCACTCAACCAGCTGAATGAATGTGCCCGCCAAGGCACAGGCTCCTCTTTTGTCTTGTGAAGCTGGGGTCTTTCCTGCCCGGGATCCCTGCCAGATCAGGTAGCTGGCCCCGTTGGGACCCAAATCTGGGGCCTGCGGTTCTGCTACCTGGACATGTGGACCTTAGGGCCTCGCATTCCCACCCCCTTGGGTTTGAAAGTCCTGTGAGATACCATCATTATTGCCATTGCTTCCTGTTAAGAGCCCTCTCATAAATGTGAAACCACTTTCGGTGCAGAACCAGTCCGCACTCTCTTGAAGTCAAAGCAAAGTCTGGGGTGAAATCCGGAACCGCAGGTGCAGCTCCAGTTCTGTTCCTCTGCTTGTTGGCTTAGGTACCCAGAGGTACCTATGCTCCACAGCTCAATCAGTGCCAACTTCACTGTTCATCGAGGCCAACAGCATACAGTGTAATCACACATTTCCTGATTTGAGGAGCTGTTTGGGTCGGACCCTTCCCTGTGCTCATGAAGCCATTTGCTGACTTGGGGGGGCTGCATATGCAATTAGCCGTTGCATACTTCGGAACTCTATCTGTTTCAATAACTGGATCTGAATAGGCTCACGAGGGTTATAGGGTCCAGTAAGTTCTTCCATCTCTTCGGGGGCTGGGATTTTGGTTCTTAGATCGGATTTCTATCCGAATTTGGTCGAATAACCGGCGATGGGTCAGGTGCTTTTGCTGTCCAATGGACCTAGCGGTGTCAGCTCCACTCCTTCAGGTCGAATTCCGGTTTGTTTATGCTCTTGGGCAGTACATGCAAAGTTCAGGTCTCCATCTCTGATTACTCCACTTTTCCGAGCACGAAAGTCTCTAGCTGTGTTGTTTCGAGGTAGCTAGATCTGACTTCCCGTGTTTGCCGCAAGTTGCTGGTGATGAGATGAATTTGGCCCAATAGCAGTTGGCAGCCTTTTGATGAAGCACTATGCTCCCATAGGGGGGTCTGTACGGTGATAAGAACCCCCAAGTCACAACTTCGAGGTAAGAGTCTTATTTGAGTCAACCAATCCAACCAAGAGCACACTTTCAATCATACTTGCAACCGCATGATTGTGCTGTGTGGTGCGCCGCTCAACGCGCAGGCCTGGTCACGCACCGCACCGGCAACAATTTCTGTGTTTTTTTTTTTTTTTGCCTGTTTCTGTCTATCCACAAGAGTTGTACTCCCTAAGGAAGAGATCTTGGTCAAGTACAGCAGTGAATTTTTTTCTTTTTGTCTCATGGACCATCAGAAACAGCCTCGAGTAGGGCTCTGGGATCCCAACTTGCTTTTTCTTTTTTTCATGCTCGTGCGCTGTACATGCCCGTGCACCACACGGATCCCATGCCCTTGTGCGCTGTAGGTGTGCAATTGCCCCCACGGCACGCACTTGCATGTATGCTTTCAATCATAGTTGTTTGAATTGGTTGCCAGGGCATGGCACCCTTTAAGAGTCCCTCTAAGCTCCGGCTCAGTCTTCCAGGTTTTCCTCTTATCATTCCAGAGGGGTCGTATTTTCCACACTGCTTTCGATCCAGGATAGCCGCCCGTGGTCAACTGAGAATAATGACCAGTGGGGTCCCAGCTCGTTGGTGAATAGGGGTTGTCGCAGAACTCTTCTTTTATACCCTGTCCCTGCGATTTTGCTAGGGAAATTTTCTGCGAGGCCATGGATTAAGAAAGCCCAATATAGTATGGGAAATACCCCATCTCTTCAGGTGCCCTCTCGTCATCGCCCATTCCTTCGCCATGAAGGAACCATCCATGTTGTCCGGTATTGGGACTGGGGTCAGTTTCCTAATACTACCCAGTCACTCCATTGCCATTATGTCATGCCCCAGGTGTCCGTGGTGTAGTAAGTTGATTTTCCATTTCGTCTGGAGGGCAAATGAACTCCTATCCTGGGCCGAGCAATCCTCGTCCTCCCTCCTCTGGTTCTCACGTTATATAGTGCCAATCAACTTCGTGAATGCACTATTGTCTAGTAGGATCTCCTGTACAGATGAAGCAACTCACCCTTTTGGCAAGTTATTTCAGTGCCTCACCCTGTGGGGACCAGATCAAGGCCATGTACCACAGCGTAGATACGACAGATGCATCCGTTACAAGTAAGTACCCTGCCTTCTAGAGAGGCTTGGGCTTTCCTGCATGGCACTAATCTTGACATAGCCACAAGGCTCTGCCCCATCCACTAATTTCCATCTTTGACGACCATGATGCCCCAAGTATCATAGGCCCTTCTCCCCACAGTCCAAAACAGTTGACCAGAGGCCTTGTCAGGTTGGGAGGGGAGATGTTCTCAGCTAAACACCATCCTATTGCTTTGGACCAGTTCCCCTTCATTTGGGAGGTCAGTCTGAAAGCTTCCACTGCCAGGGTTGTTGCTTGAAGATGAGTTTGAAGCCCTGATCAATACTGTCAAGTCATCTGCGAAGTATGAGGGCCACCCAAATGACGAAGTCATTGGAGGGGGTTAGTGGCATTACTGCTAATATATCAATACAAGGGTTACTCCTGAGAAAGTAGGCAATTGCTAGGAGTCATTATAGAGAATCCTGACCCATTTTCGAAGGACTGGACCTACGGGTCCTACACCCATTTTCTCCACACAGGCAAGGAGAAAATCCCAGTTCACCTCGTCAGAAGCCTTATTGACATCAAAGGAAATCAGGAATTGTCCTCACCGCATCGCACATTGCAGTTTTTGCAATCCCCTCTACACTATAAGAGTACAGTAGTCGGATTCATAACTCTTCAACAATTACCTTGGCACGTGTCTGCAAGTGCTTTTTAGAATCACAAGTGGTTGCCTGTCTCAACTTCGCCTGGGGGAAAAGGGGATCCCTCTCTCTCCACATCAAAGATGTGGGTGGGTGGGGGGGGGGGAGGGGCGGGGGGAGAGAAGAAAAGGAATCCAATGATCACAGGCCTCGTACCAATCAAAGCTATACAACAAGATGATCCTAGACCTCATACCATCAAAGCTTTCTACAACAAGTCGGTGTTATGTAACTGATTGAATTCCATCCACAACAAATTCACACGTTCCCATACACGTATGCAGTAATGAAGCAGACTTGGAGGCGGCAAATCCACACAAAAGCCGGAGAGAAGTACACCGCAAAAGCTCGATATGCAAAAATAGAATTGAAGACGAATCTTCGATATTGAAGATGAATCTCTCTTACTGCCCTGCCTCCTCCAATCAATCAGCTGTATAAAATTACAAGAATCACCAATCGTGTTTCAACAACCCCAAAAAAATTGAAAGCGGAATTTCAACGAATCATCCGGAGTCTTGTCCCTCCTCCACATCCACTCCACAACCTCATCTATGGCCGCCCGAACCTGCAGAACACCAGCACCACCCCTCCAAAGCGCCTACGTAGTCAGCGCCTGCACGGAATTGCAGCAAAAGTACCCCGAATGAAGAAGAAGTGCAGCACAATCATCAGACTCAACAATTAGCTCGGCACATGTCTGCCAGTTCTTTTTAGAACCATTTACATCGAAAAAGCATTAAAAAATCAGAGATGCATAGACCGGCCAACAAATCATCCTCACCGCATCGCACATTGCAGCTCTTCGCCCTGAGATAAGTCTCCCGAAGAACAAAATAGTTTCCTCAGGCCAGAATCACCAATATGAAAAAGCAGCCCGATTGTGCGGGCAGCACACCATCGGACATCGGACGGTCCTCCACCACCTTCATCCATATCTGTTGCATCGTCAGGGCTCATACGGTGGCCACCTCCATGGGTGGGACTGTGCCAGAGAAGGAGATCGAAGAAGGGACTCCAGTTCCAAAGGTCGCGAAATGCAGCTGGTTTGAACTTCATGTACCGATATGTGGCTCGTGCAATCTCTAGAAGCGATACACCGTCCTGCAGCCAAAGGGATGACAAATACACAAAACTACAGTTAAGCAAACCCTGCACAACATGAGCAAACAGTCAAAAGAATTATCACCTTGGCAGTACCTCAGCAGCAGTAATGCAAACAGATATTATTCAATTTATTTTTGACCACGCGCGGTTACTGGATCAGATGTCATCCATGCTCTGGGTTGTCCACATGCCAATACATATACATCGGGTCAGGAGGACGACCACCAGATGACCCTGATGTGAAGACATACAAAACCTTCTTCTCCCCTCCCTGGAACTATTTGCATCATCGAAAAAGACTCGGGAGTGAAAAAAAAAAAATCACATTGTTACCAAGAACTGTTAGGTAATCCATCAGTGGCAAGGGAGAAAAAGGACCCACCACCTGTAGGCTGTGATAAGAAGAAGCCGCTGAATTTGACCCAAGTCAACGGAAATGAAACCTTTCACTACTGACTTCATTGCACTGTAGCCTTAACAATGTGGAGCACCAACATATCAAAGCACTTTGAAGTTCAAACACATTTCGGATTTGTTCATTTCGCAAAACAATGTGATTCTGTGGACATTTTAATAATAGCACGGCCAACAACTTCACCTCATCAGCAACACCTCCTTTAATATCCCTTATTACTGTGTTAAAATCCGGGCCGCCCGCCCGCCCAGCCTTCGTCCGGCAGGGGTTCCGGGCGGCCCGGCCGGTTGGGTCCCCCGGTTTGGCGTCGGGCGGGCCCAGCGCAATTTCGCACGGGGGTGGGGGGGGAAGACCTTTTTCGCCCAGTCGTAACATCCCCGGCCCCCGTGAACACTTTGTTTCGAACTCAGGCCCAAGTGAGGCCGGGGGAAGGGGTTCTTCGGCGACTGATCTCAGCACCCGACCTGCAAAGACCGGCGGCTGCGATCAGCCGCAAGAAAGCCGCAAGAAACGACCTCGTTTCCCCCCATGCTGGCCTACCGCACCGTGTTCGAATTCGAACGTGGTATCCTCCACTGCGAAGCTGCTGTCACGAAGCCCGCCCGTCGTAGCTGCCGTCTCCAAGCCCGCCGTCGCCGCTGCTCCTCCTCGTCGAGCTGCCATCGTCGCTCCCAGTTGAGCTGGCCCGTCAAGAACGAATCCACGGCGTCGCTGCCCGTGAAGCGGCTAGCACCATCGGGGTGAAGCCGCCTTCACCTGCTTCCTCTTCTTCTTCTTCTTCCCCTCCTCCTGCTTTCGTCTTCTTCTTCTCCTCTCCTCCTCCTCCTTTCCTCTTCTTCTTCTCCTCCTCCTCCTCTTCCTCCTCCTTTCGTGTTCTTCTCTTCTCCTCCTCCTCCTCCGTCGTTATCCTCTTTTTTTGTTTTTTTTTGGTCATCGCCATCGAAATCCGGCAGGTCCTCCCCCTCCTCCTCTCCTCTTCTTTGTCTTCTTTCCTCCTCCTTTCGTCTTGTCCTTCTCTCCTCCTCCTCCTCCTCCTCTCCTCTTTTTCTTCTCTCCTCCTCCTACTCCTCCGCTTTCGTGTTCTCCTTCTCCTCCTCCTCCATGTCCTCCATTGTCCTCTTTTTTTTTCTTCATCGCCAGACACTGCCGGCAGGTCCTCCTCCTCCTCCTCCTCTGCCTTCTTCTCCTCCTCTTCCTCCTCTCGTCTTCTCCTCCTCCTCCGTTCCTCTTCTTCTCTCCTCCACCCCCTCCTGTCGTCTTCTTCTCTCCTCCTCTTCCTCCTCCTCCTTTAGTCTCCTTCGCTCCTCCTCCTTTCGTCTTCTTCTCTCCTCCTCCTTTCTCCTCCTCCCGATTTCATGTGTTTCCTTTAGTACGCGAAGTGCCACGCGGCAACAGGAAGCTGACAGCTGCCACATGCTGGCATAGGCAAGCTGCAGTGAAATCCCACCGCCAGTTGACGCACTGACGGGCGGGCTTCCTCTCTCTCTCTCTCTCTCTCTCTCTCTCTCTCTCTCTCTCTCTCTCTCTCTCTCTCTCTCTCT